CTAAGGCTCAGGAAAGACATGACTCACCACTGCAGTGTTCTACCTGCACTCATGGTTCACCTAGGGGCAGGTGCACTGTAGGTCTGAAACCTCAGGTGTGACCTATGCAGGGTTTGGATTCTAGGCCAACAAACTGACAAACCAGAGAGAACATAGCAGAGCTGAGCCGAGGCCGTGACCGAGGAGTCCTGCAGAGTCTCCATGAAGATGCCGACATGCTACTGTGGCCAGTACGACACCGCTACTGACAGGAAGGGAGAAATGATCAGGATGAGGTCTGAAGGACGGCTGGTCTCAAATGTAAAGGTTTATTTCAATTCATGTACACAGACTGAAGAAAGAAACGTGTGAAGCAGGAGAGCCGGACAGCTGGGAGGCAGTGTGTGTCCTATGATGTTGTATAAAAACACATGGAGGAAAGTGTATTGTTGTGGGTCAGAAAATCAAACTGCTGTTTGTTACTGAACAGTGCAACAGTGTGGAAGAGTGCCGTCCACACTGATATCAGCTGTTTACACTGCAAACAGGCTGTGGCCCAATGCTGACAGCAGGAGGAAAACGCTCCTGGAGCTTCAGACCTGGGGCTGATCAGCGACACCAAGTCCCTTCAGCCCACAGCTGCTTGTGTTTCCAAAACGCCTGAAGAAAACTTTACTGATAAGATTGAAAACATGAAACCATGCTGAGTGAAACAACAGGTTTCTCTTCAGTGTTTGTTATAAACAGTCAGGTGGATTCAGATGTGTTTGATTCATGTTACAGCACCTCTGGAGTAGAGGGTTACGTGGGTGGAGTGACACCGGGTTTGTCTCAGGACAGCTCTGGTGGATTCAGCTACTTTTAAGTGTGTTTATGTTGCGTTACAGCTCCTTCTGATCCAGTTGCAGGCGATGTGTCTGGGTTCTCTTGCTGTCTCAGTGCAGCACCTCCCTGTCAGCAGACCCGGAGCGGGTGGGGCAGATGTGGAGCTGAGGGAGGTCGATACCGTTGTTGTGCAGCTCCTCCTGCTTCTGTAAACCCTGGAGCTTTACCAGCAGCTCGCTGATGAATACCTGACAGGGGGAGACACAGTCAGGACACCGTGTTAGCACCCCTGCAGGCCGCACAAAACTGATTCACCTACCGCTGTACACAGCCTCCTTATCGGTCTGATTAAGCCAAAGTAAATAAAACTTTGAGCAGCAGGGGGCTGCTACAGAACAGGTCACTGAATTAATTTTCATTCTGTTTAAACTTTATTTCACCAGCTGAAAAAACCTTAGAAAAAATCAACTGGACTTAGATTTCTAGATCGAAGACGTTTCACCTCTCATCCAAGAGGCTTCATCAGTTCTGACTGACTGGTGTTGAGCCGGAGATATTTATCCCCCTCAGTGGTGTTTCAGTCCTTAGAAGGCCAACAATGTCCCCCTAATGACTGAGTCATTCCAAATGTTGTCTCAGGTCACAAATGACGCTTTATCCCTACAAGTACTGAAAAGTTCGATCGCAGAAGAAAAACGACAAAATATAAAAGTAAAGCCCAAACAGTGTGAGTGGCCAGTGTCTGCAATAACAGAAGTAGCATTAAAGACACTGTGACGTTTAGAGCAGTTTCCAGCTGTGGCGTCCTCACACTTGATCCAGAGGCTGATCTCAGGTCAGATCAGGATCAGCAGGCTGAGGAGCAGCGTCACTACACAGAATGGGCTGTTTACAGGCTTTTTCAACATGTCTCCTCAGGATTTCTCAGGGTCAGACCCAAACCACCAGGCTGGTTCCCCCTCCACTTGTACAGTGTCATTCCCTAGATCAGCTGCTCTCTGTTTTTACAAACAAAGGAGGAAGCGGTGACTCTGGTGGGGACTATGGATTGACCCACATCTGCTGCTCGGTGTATGTATCAGTTCACCATGTATTTGCACTATCTTGTATGTTTGCTCTAGAATGCACTTCATGCTCAGTGAGTCAACAGGTCTGTGGCTCTGACAAAGACGTAACCAGCAAGCAGCTGCTCTCCGGTTCTCACCTGTGTGTTCTTGTTACAGGAGCCGAGGATGCCCTGAAACATGAAGAAAACAACATGAGAGACACTCACACGAACACGTGCTGCATGTTATTGTAATGTCACAGCTACCTGCAGTCGGAGCGTCCTCTCCTCGTCTGTCTTCAGGTCCAACAGTTCGTCAATGTTCACCTCCTCTGGCATCTCCTCTTCCTGCACCGATCACACACAGCTTCATTACCTTCACCTCATTTCAAACAAGTTGTCCTGCTTCTGCATAGAAATACTAGAGCACACGTTCACCCCATGTTTTGAGCTTTAAGTCACGTCTAAGATGAGAATTCACCGTTGTAACATTGTAGAGAAATCAGACAACAAGGAAAAGCACCATGGGCTCTTTAACCTACTGATAATTTTAATACTACTATACAGAGAACAGACTGATAAAGACAAAAAAATCTGTTCAGCTCAAACAGCAACCAGTTGATCAGCCGATCAGTGCTGGTCTAAAGAACTGGGAGGTCACTGGCTCAGGTTCTGGACCAGTTAGATTCAATCTGGGTGAAATATCAACACCAGCAGCAGACTGAAAGGTATAGTCATCCTGTGAACAGCCAGAGACAACATACAGGGCTCATCCATCCAACAAGTTTCACATTCTGCTTCTCCTCTTCTTTGAAATGATATGCACAAATTAATAAAGAAGATTCTATATCTCTGGTGTGTCCAGCAGCAGGCCGGGTGTGCCAGGCCGGGTGTGCCAGGCCGCACACAGTATAGATACCGGCTTTCATCAAACTCGATTTGACAGTTCTAGGTGAAAGGTTATCCAATCAGAAGCTTTTTGGGGGCGGGACAAAGCTTCTGATTGGATAACCTTTCACCTAGAACTGTCAAATCGAGTTTGATGAAAGCCGGTATCTATACTGTGTGTCAGGCCAGGTGTGCCAGGCCAGATGTGCCAGGCCGGGTGTGCCAGGCCAGTAGACAAGGTGTACTGAGCAACCAATCCGACTGCTGTGATTTAGTTTCCTGCTCCTCAGTTCCCTCACATATCTGCAGCTTTATTACTGAAAGAAAACTCATGATGAAATCAATGTAATGTGAACTATTGATCGTTCAGAGTAAGCAATAGTCATCAGTAATCACTGACTGTACGGAATTTTGTACTTTTGGTCCATGACGTCTGCTGTGCAATCATTAGCACATTAGTAAACAAAGGCCAGTCTGAAGAATCCCATGCTGAGGTTTGGTGTTTTCATGCTGTTTAGTCATCCATCACAAACAAACAACACTAAAACACAACTAAATCCTGGCTCCTGCTGCGTCTTGTGCTGGTCACGGTCAAACTTTACCGCCCTGGAAAACAAATCTGGGTGACAATGATGAAGATTACAATAATTCTTAACTCTTCCAGTTTTCAATTTCTGTCAGTGAACACAGTCGTGCTTCCACCACACTGACTTCTGTTCATTTCCTGGACACCTAATCCGACACTAGCCTAAACATAACCATTCTAACCTTCAGCCAAGTCTGTAGCAGAACATGACGCACCCGGTGCTGGATCCTGACTTAAGATGGACGTCGAGTCAGATTTATGTCCCCACAAGTATATGATGATCCAGAGAGCTGGATTCCTTCTCTGTCACTGTGTAGGCTGTGTGTGACATATGGGCATTTTAAAGTCCTCCTCCCCCTCCATAACTGACAGCTTCATCAATCAATATCTCCAAAAGCTGATCAGCTTCCTGTTCTTTTGTCCAGCTGCGCTCCTCTCACCTGTGGTTTTCCCCAAAGACTCCATTTTGGGTCCAGTCCTTTTTTCGTTATCCTGTACATGCCTCCTCTAAGACTGATCCTGAAAGAATACAGCCTTTCTTTTCACCGCATTCAACACTGGGCCAATACTGTGGAACAGCCCACCTTTGAACATGGGGTCAACTTAGCGCTAATTAAGTCCCTGCTAAAAACTTCCTTGACAGACTGACTAGAGTCAGACGTCAAAGGTTCCCTTTTATTTCATAGTGCTTTATGATGCACTTGTTTAGTGTTTTCAAAAAATGCTACATAAACAACGCTGGTTTGCTTTTGCTTTGTTTATTTCAAAGATTTAGCTAAATGTTGTAATGGTCCTTTAAACCTCAATGAGACCATCTGAAACAGACTTGCTGAAACACTGCATGTTTGTCCAGATGGGTCTCTGATAGGAAATGAACCAATGACGCATCACTGATTATCCATTTATCAACAAACACACACACAGTGACCCGCCTAGTGTCAGGAGACAAATTATTAGTTTCCCTCTGTTCCGCCCATATCTGTCTAATCCACATTAATGTGGTGTGTTACTGTGTGAAGCTAAACGCAAAGACGACCACCTGCACCCATCCCCACCCCCACATTCATCTAAAGCTCCCCTCTAATGCAGCTTTTACCATGGCCGACATCAATACCTCCACCCTCCCTGGAGATTTAGATCATAAATCTAACCCACTTGGCAGAGTTTACAGACACAGAGGGGCTTCAGCCTGACAGAGGTGGGGGTGGTGGTGGGCGGTGGACGCAGGCTGAGGGAGGGGGGACACAGGCAGACGGGGGGGTGGAGGCTGCTGGAGGGGGGATGCAGGCCAGACAAACCCACAGTCAGCTCGCCTCATGCAGTACGTGACCTACAGTTCGGGTTTATGTTGGATCAAAGAAACGTCAAAGCCGAACAACAAAATAATGTTAATTTACATGGTTTACTTTACTGTTACAAAACCCGAACACAGTGTGGAAGGGTCCTCACAGTGTGGATGTGGACATGTCCTCACAGTGTAGAAGGGTCCTCACAGTGTGGATGTGTCCTCACATTGTGGACGTGGACGTGTCCTCAGTGTAGAAGTGTCCTCACAGTGTGGACGTGTCCTCAGTGTAGAAGTGTCCTCACAGTGTGGACGTGTCCTCACAGTGTAGAAGTGTCCTCAGTGTGATGTGTCATCACATTGTGGACATGGACGTGTCTTCACAGTGTAGAAGTGTCCTCAGTGTGATGTGTCGTCACACTGTGGACATGGACGTGTCTTCACAGTGTAGAAGGGTCCTCACAGTGTGGATGTGTCCTCACATTGTGGACATGGACGTGTCCTCAGTGTAGAAGTGTCCTCACAGTGTGGACGTGTCCTCACAGTGTGGAAGGCTCAATGTGATGTGTCGTCACACTGTGGACATGGACGTGTCTTCACAGTGTAAAAGTGTCCTCACAGTGTGGACGTGTCTTCACAGTGTAGAAGTGTCCTCAGTGTGATGTGTCGTCACACTGTGGACATGGACGTGTCTTCACGGTGTAGAAGTGTCCTCAGTGTGATGTGTCGTCACACTGTGGACATGGACGTGTCTTCACGGTGTAGAAGTGTCCTCAGTGTGATGTGTCGTCACACTGTGGACATGGACGTGTCTTCACGGTGTAGAAGTGTCCTCAGTGTGATGTGTCGTCACACTGTGGACATGGACGTGTCTTCACAGTGTAAAAGTGTCCTCACAGTGTGGACGTGTCACAGTATAGAAGTATCCTCAATGTGATGTGTCGTCACACTGTGGACATGGACATGTCTTCACGGTGTAGAAGTGTCCTCATGCTAACACAGCGCCTGTAGCAGCTCCCGTTTCTTCTCCACCTTTAAATCTACAAATCACTGTCTCTGTTTTTCTGCTGAGCACACACATCATCTCTGTCACTGGCAGACTCACAGTGGGACCAGTAAACCTTCCAGTGACGGAGGATCTGAGCAGCGTTAACAGGGCTCACGGAGCCCCGGTGGATGTTGGTGCTGGAAAAGCCTCTAAACAAAAGAGTGAAAACATGCAAGTCGTATTCCAATCAAGGCGCAACATGTTGTGTAAAGACCTGCTGCAGTCTAAGCTTGTCATGTTACATGTCTGTGCAGCGGCCAAGGACGAGGACCCGATCTAACAGGACCGGCCTGAACTGCAGAACTCGGATCTGTGCTGAACAACAGCAAGACCCGGGTCCTGGACCACTACAAGCACCGCCGGGAGCCAAGTCTAACAGCAGTATATGGGTTAGGGTTTAATCAGTACTGTCTATTTAACATCACCTGTACTTCTACGTCCCAGCACCAGCGGAGTACTTTCAGTACTGTTTACTGAAGTGTTCTGCTGTTGTGAGTTGCAGTAGTCTGTGTACTTTTTAACAGCAGTACCATATTTTGCAGTAGTGCCATGTAGTAGTTTTAGGTGTAGTAGTTACTGTCCTGGTTCTTCAGGCTCTTACCAGGTGCTATTGTTTGCAGCAGTATTTAGTGGCAGCGCTGCTGG